GTTGTGGAGTCTCCTTCTCTGGAGATATTCAAGACCCGCCTGGACAAGGTCCTGTGCAGCCTACTGTAGGTGACCCTGTTTCGGCAGGAGGGGTGGACTAGATGACCCACGGAGGTCCCTTCCAACCCCTACCACTCTGTGATTCTGTGAAAGGAACCCTTTTTCCCAAAGTGGATCTTCCCATATGTAACCAAAGAGCAACAGAAAGGGAAGCAGAAGCTTTCTTGCCCAAACACCTTTGGGTATCTTGTTGGGGAAAATCTGATTGTCATGGGCAGTTCTGTGAGCTAGAAGGGAAAAAAACGGGCTCTTGTAACCAAAGAGCGTACCAGTGTCACGAACATTTCACTCCGTGATGTCAGTGTTGTTCTGCTGAAACCATGCAGGTCAGCAGATAGCATCAACTAGCAGAGAAAGCATCAAACAGCATCCATGAGCAGAGAAAGCCTCAAACAATATCAAGGAGAAAGCCTCAAAACAATAACTGCCTGTTCTGGGCATTGTAGAGAACAGTTTAAATGTCATCACAGTTGAAATGTTAATTGTCAGCTTGTTTTATTTAATGTCTCCTTCTTTATATTGGGCTTCAGTATTTTCAGTCTATGTGGTTTGGAAATGACTTGCTGAATCACTGCTGAGTGTTGTGGTGGGACTGGGAGCTGACCTGGAGGGTCCAGCCCCGCTCGTTTCTCTAGCCTGCAAGCCATCAGTGCCTGTGCTCAACGTGGAGTGTACAACACGCAAGTGAAGTGGTGGCCGTGGAGTCAGCAGGTGGAAGAGGTGCTGCTAGTAGGGCTCTTAGGGATGGAGAGCAGTTGTAGTATTTGACCTGGGAGATGGAAGACAAGAAAGAGTAACCTGTGGGTGTTTGCCAGGAAGTCACTGGTCTGAGTGTTTTCCAGTGGTCTGACTCCTTTCTGTGAGCAGCTTGTGGTCTCAGAGACGAGAGTCTGAGCTGCTCCTGAGCATCTTGCAACCCTGTTAACTGCTCTGTGCATTGCTGTCACAGGAAGTTCATGGTTTTGCTCTCTGAGAGTGGTGAAACACTCATTCATAAGATTACCTGGCATGAGCAAAGTTGGGGTGGAGGGGGAGGATGAAGTCGCTCCTGTTAGACCACAGTTCATCAGAACAGCGTGGGGACGCACCAGGCTCTGCTATTCTTTATGGTCTCCTTGTTCTCTTCAACTTAGTCCGGGAGGTCTGGATGGCACTTTTCAGAGTCTGATGTTGAACACAGCAGCTACCTGCAGATGAAAAGTGCTCACTGCAATCAAGTTGTCCTGTGCTGCAGATTCCACTGGCTCCACTTGCCTTCCTGATCCCAACGGACATTAGTCACAGCCTGGATATGCTGTGGTACAGCACTTTGGTCTCCTGGAGATGACTTTGCTCTTCTTCACAGCCTGGGGCAGTTACACTCTCGCAGCTGGAGAGTGTTTGCAGGACGTGGTGAAGCTGTTGTGCTTTTTGGAGGGTACAAGGACAAGCTTGAACCACGGGAGTGCTGACTAATAGTGCTTATGTGGAGGAAGGAAGTGGCCAAAAACAAAAAATGATCTTACATATGGAGCAGGGGCACTGTCTGACGGCATGTTCTTAACTGGCAAAAATGGTCTTATTTTGTTTGTGCATATTTGGATGGTTATGGCCTGATCTGTGCTTGAGATCAGGTATCTGTCGTAGTATTTGATGTACTTAGCTGCCTATGACAGATACTTGATCACAAGGCACTGGGAACTACAAAGCAGTAAAGCCACACCAGATGCTCAAAGGTCGGATGTGGAAATGGAGACTTGCCCTCAGGTATAGCTTCAGCATTTCCTGCATATTTTTTTTCTGTGCACATGCTGAAGTTCACTGCTGGTGTGATGTTATCAGTCCAGGACACGTTGTCTGACTGACTGTACATTCCCCCTCCCAGGACTGAGGAAACTGGGCTTTCCAAGTGCTTCTTGTTTGACTTGGAGGCGGAGGTGCTGGGCACGCGTGACGGCAGGGTGACGTGCACCGCTGCCGCTGTGGGTGTGTGGGCAGCTCTGCAGCACTGTGCCCGCGTTCTCAACGAGTGATGTGTGTGAATGTGTGAAGCGTCTGAGATTTGAGGTTGCTGCAGTATCTCAAGATCAGTACTCGGTTGTGGGTATGAGATGGATGGGTCAAATGTCTTTGAAGAGAGAGGAAGCTGTCGATGCCAGCATGTGTGAGGGAGTCGATGTATCCAATCACTTTTGAAGGAGGCTGTTTTCCAAAGTGAGATTTATTTTTCCTTAAGAAGCAGAGTAAATGGTTCATCCGGTGCACCTCATCCGGAAGTGACGGCGTGGGGTATATCAGTACTCCCTTGCATATGGGGAAGAATTCCCCTGGGGAGGGCTCAGGGCCTCGTGGAACCCACTGTGTGAAGCTATGGTGTGAATTTGTACTCACACACGCAGTTTAGCTGAATAAGTTGTGAAACTCTTGGACACGAGAGCGCTGTCAAGTGGGGGGGGCACCAGGACATAAGGGGCAGATCGACTGTACTTTACAGCTGCTGGAATTTTCTTTGCTATTTTTTGGCAGTGGAGAGAGCGGTGCCGGGAAAACAGAGAGTACGAAGCTGTTATTGCAACACATCATGAACCTATGCAAAGGCAACTCACAGCTGGAGCAGCAGATCCTGCAGGTAAGTCATTACAAGATGGTGCTTGAAGATGCAGAAGCAACACTGATGTGAGACAATTTGCATTAGGCTCAGGGAGCCTGCTGATGAATCGCCACTGGAAGTCAGGGAGCGAAACACAAGACACATAAGAAAATAGTGGATGAGGATGGTGAAATAGCTGACCACAAATTAGAAGGGCTGGTGGGTCAGTAATTCTGTTTGCTGGGAAAGTAGTGGTATCTTAAATGGTAGAAAACTGTCGCGGTCCTGTATCATGTTCGCTGTGATGAGGGATTAGGGGAATTTTTCCCAAATGATTTCCTGTTTGATGTGGAACAAGGTTTTTCTTGAATGAAATGAAGTCTTAATTTAACAGTACATGGGAATGGGAAGTCCACACAACCTTCCGTCGCCTTTAGTTGGATACTTATAGTTACTGTCGGGCACATACCTGTTAACTGGCTGACTTCATCTGTGCTGTTTTCATATACCTTTGGTAGATGATTTTGAAAGACACTTATCTCTTTGGTATGAAGTATTTCCACGTGAGTTGCTCCTCAAGGAGTTGTGGGTTTTTGTAAACAAATCATACCTTAACCTTCCACGTGACAGGTTAAGCAGAGTGAGTTCTTGGAATGCTTCATTTTAAAGTCTGTGTTTTCAGGTTTTGTGTAGAGCCAGAGAGATCTTTCTGCATGTGGTGGGTTAACCTTGGCTGGATGCCGGGTGCCCACCCAGCTGCTCTATCACTCCCCCTCCTCAGCTGGACATAGGGAGAAAAACACGATAAAAGGCTCGTTGGTCAAGATAAGGGCAAGGGAGATCACCCAGCAGTTATCGTCACAGGCAAAGCAGACTTGACTTGGGGACAATTAATTTAGTTTATTGCTGATTAACATCAGAGTAGGATAATGAGAGATAAGAATAAATCTGAAAACACCCTTGCCCTCCCCTCTTCCTGGGCGCAATTTCACTCCCGATCTCTCCACCTCCTCCCTCCGAGCGGTGCTGGGGGGACGGGGAATGGGGATTGTGGTCAGTTCACCACATGTTGTCTCTGCCTCTCCTTCCTCCTCACTCTCTGTCACAAGTACTGTCAGCAGACTTGCTCCAGTGTGGGTTCCTCTCTCTCCATGGGTCCGTTGGTCCTGCCAGAAGCCTGCTCCAGCACGGGCTCCCCATGGGGTCACAGCCTCCTTCAGGCATGCACTTGCTCCAGTGTGGGGTCCATTCCATGGGCTACAGGTGGATATCTGCTCCATCGTGGACCTCCATGGACTGCAGGGGGACAACCTGCCTCACCATGGTCTTCAGCATGAGTTGCAAGGGAAAACTCTCTGCTCTGGCATCTGGAGTACCTCCTCCTCCTTCTTCACTGACTTTGGTGTCTGCAGAGTTGTTTCTCTCACTTCTTCTCACTCCTCTCTCCTGACTGCCATTTCACCACAGTTTTTTTTCCCCTTCTTAAATATGTTATCACAGAGGCGCTACCAGTGTCGCTGGTGGGCTCGGCCTTGGCCATCCGTGGGTCCGTCTCAGAGCCAGCTGGTCACTGGCTCTGTCAGACATGGGGGAGGCTTCTGGCACCTTCTCACAGAAGTCAA